TCTCCAGAGCTTGGGTTTAGGCAAGTCCTCTGCATCCTAGGAAATTGCTGTTGTACCTAAGCAGATGATCAGGAGTTTATGGGAAGCACCGTCAACCTTACAAAGGGTTTTTGTTCTGAGTGAGAAAGCCTGAGCCAGCGCCGGTCAGCCTGCTTCTCGAAATGGGCGACAAAGAAATTGCAGATGGACAAAACAGATGAGCTCATACCCAGTTCCCCAGGCTCCCTTCGTGGCCAGGGCAGGATGGTGTCTGATGCCACCTCTGTGCCACCCAGTGTAAGTGGCCTCGCAGAGAAAACCGCAGAATTGGAGGTGGCCCCTGTGACCGCTTTGTCTGCCCGTGCCACCGGCAAGCCCGCTCGGCCGTGCCATTGCCTGCCCCGCTGCCTGGGAACCGGGGTCTGACCCCGGTCCATGGGCAAACCAAGTCACGGCTCTTCCCTGAGCTTCAGCTCCGCAGCAGGAAAAACAGGGATTGTGGTTGTGATCATCTTGGATAACGTTAGAATGAAAAGCAGGAGGTAGGAGGTGGGCATCAGTGCTGCCCCTGGTGTAGGCTGTGCTCGTTTTTACCAAGGACTCGTGCTAGCTGTTGGATGTCATGATGTCCAACTCCCTGCTGCTGCTCTCCTGTGATGTGGGCAGGAACCTGTGAGAGCAGTTCTCCTTGCACATACGCAAATGTTGTATTCATTCGGGGTTTGACAGTGGCACTCCAATGAAGGACATCAAATTGCTAGAAAAAAACAAGAGACCTGCCTGATAAAAATAAAATATAAAAAAAAAAAAAGACCTGAACAGTCCCACTTCTTCCTGCAGAACCACAATTCCTGATCATAAGCGATGAGACTGCTGGGGCTTGAAAGACTGGTGTGGCATGAGCGGAGGGGACCTGCTGCCGGGGAGCCTGCAGCTGAAAGGGCGTCAGGAGATTTTAGTGACGTGATCCCATTTTGTCCATGGTCTTGGAGATGCTCCCATGCCTAACCACTAAATCCAGCTGTCTTCCCAGTCTTGCTGCAAACCCTTGCAAGCTGGAGTTGCTAGATGCTTGTTTGGGAGAGGGAGGTATTCCGTTTAATTTGTTTCTTGCCACATGAACGGTGGCAGGGGAAGCTCTCCTCTTCCCTCCTGGCCCCGGGAAGGGAGAATCCCCGTGGAAGCTGGCAGGTTGGCTGAGCTCTTGGCCAAAACTGATGCTGGATTCCCAGCGCCCAGGTTGCTTTTCCTTCTTGGTCCCTCACTTATTACTGGGGAATTTGGCTGCCACGTTCCAGGTAGCAGCATCGCTGATAGCCGGCATTGCTGCTTATCACTGTGTCCGTACTTTCATGACTTTATCCTCTCCCTGTTACTGCCCTTCTCCGAGCAGCGTTTTGTTATTGCTGCCACAGCTGTCAGGTGATCAGTTGCTCTTTGTTCTGACAGCGGCTTGTAGCACAAATGTAATCTTGCCCTATGCTTAATTGCCTCTGAGCGAGACCATTAATTGGCAGCCAGCAGGTTCCTACCTTCAGGGAAGGACCTGGGTACGTGGTCACGGGTACTGCGCGGCACTGGCCGGGAAAGCTGGAGGGAGACTTTGAGCAGAGAAAGGGTTAACTTGTGTCCTAAAAAGAATTACCTAAAATCAGTGAGGCTCTGGAAGGAACCCCAAGCTTTGCAGGTGAAAGGATCCCGACACCATTAGGTTCCTGTTACTGGTTCACCAGCTCCGCTCTGCCCCGAGTGCCGCAGATGTCCCCGGCGTGGTTGAGAGGGGTTAATCTTATGCCGGAGGGGTGAGTCACGGAGGCCCCAGCGAGACAGATCTGGTTAGCTCTGCTGGTTCCCCATTTATCATGGGGCTTACGCAGCTGTCCCCTTGGCACAGCGCGCTGGGAGCGGGCACACGTGGGCCAGGCAGGTCGGGCGGTGGGGTAGTGCTGGCTGCTGGAAGCCCCTGGCTCTGCGGGGTGATGGGCTGTCGCTCGATCCCTCCTGAGCCCTGACAGCCTTCTCCCTGCTTATTCCTGGAAATGCTCTTTGGATAGAAGTGTACGAGCCCTGGGAAGCCACATGCCAGCACTGTACCCTGCCTCCCAGCTCCAGCACGGCCATGCCTTCGCTGGAATTATCCCCAGGAAACGCAGCCGTCGGTGCTCGGAGTGGGGTCCCACCAAGGTGGTCTCAGAGCCTGGTGACCGAGCAGCAGGGCAAACCTTGCATCTCCTGCCTACCTTTCTCTTTTGCTTGGGAATGAATACCTAGAGTCTGTGACGCATCTAACAAAGCTCGACATTTAAGACTGAGCTGTGTAAGTGGGGTGTTAGACCTAGGGGGAATCGGTGGGGTGTGTGGCCTCGCTGGGATACAACCCTTCCCTTCTTCCCCAAGAGAATCAGCCAACCCCTAGAAATAAAAACATTCTTCCCAGAAAAACTGCAGGGAGAGAGCTTTTCACCCCTGGGATTTATGCAGTATCCAGGGAGTGCCCCGGCAGCCCCGGGCTGTGAGCAGTGGAGTGCTGTAGGGGTGGCGGTTTGTGCCATTGCACAGAAGGAAGAATTTCCGTATAACCGGAATGCAGGAAACAAGGGAACCCCTCAAGCCCTGAGTGCTATCTCCCTCTCACATCAGCCCTTGCTCTCCCGCAGTGCTTGCTGGCTTCCTTTAGCTTTTTGCCCTGACAAGGAGCAGGTTCAGGACTCGCTGCCTTGCAGCTGCTTTTATGGTTGTGGGACTCTGCCGCAAAATTGTCTGGGCGCCTGGAACAACAGACTCCACCGAGAGAAACCGAGGGATCTGAGCAGACGGGAGAGCTGAGGAATCCAGGTGGAACTAGAGCAAAGAAAACCTTTCCACTAACCCCAGTGGAAGGCACCTGTGTTTCCTTAGCTTTGATCAGTCCTTGTTCCAGTGAATTTGATGAGGATGGCAGGAGGTCATCTGTGGAGTTGGGATGCCCTAAATGTAGGATGTGCTTCTGCACCCCTTCTTTCCCAACCCAGAAAACCTCCCTTCAGGTGAGGATCTCCCCCCACCTAGGGAGGACAGCCTCCCAGCAGTAACCGAACCCCAGCTCCATGCTGGCATGGAGACCCAACAACAAACAGCCCGGCCCGGGCACCTGCCCAGGGCACCTTTCTGAGGAAGCCCTTCTGGGAAGATGTTTTGGGAACGTCTCTTGCAGACGTCAGGCCCCCATCTCTCACCATCTCTGATTAATTTTTCCTGAATCCTTGGTACAGAATATTCAGAACCAGGAAAACCAGAAAGAAAATTTGGACCAGAGGTTCCCCAGCCTGTTCAAGAAGGGACGAAGGAAAACAGTTGTCAGGAATTTGGGCAAAATGATCTATTACTCCAAGGTCAAGTTTAAGTTCCAGCACTGCCAGGTAAGCTGCGGCACCTGTTTTGGGGCGTTTCTCTTCTCGGGTGTGGAGTGACCCTGCGGGACTGAAAGTAAAATGTAATTCTGGGAAATGTGACTCATGGAGAGTTCCTCGGGCTACTGCCTGGCCCAGGGACTTCTGCTGCCACGCGGTCCGTGGGTACCAACTGGCACCCACCAGCTCCCATCCCACTGGGGACCTGGGCCCTGCTGCCGTGCTCAGCTGCCGGGCTGGCAGCAGATCCACCGGCAGAGATGCGGTGGTGGCCTTTGGATAAGCGACCGCTGGCTTTTCTGTGCACTGATCAGTCTGAGATACAGAGGGAAGCTGGGAGGAGGAAGGTGTCCTGAGATAAACCCCAAAACATGTCTTTTCGGCAGGAGGTGAATGACTGCTTCTTGGAACTGTTCCAGTCCTACCTGTACTTCCAGTCTATGGGCTCCAACGGACTCACCTACCAGGTGGGGCATCTCCTGGACACACCGGGGCAAGCACTGGGGTGTCGGGCAGTATGGCCAAGCTGGGGACACTGGGCAGATGGGATGGGACAGGACAAGGGGCTCTGCTCCTGGGGCTGCCACTGGTCTCCTCTGGGTGATCTCAGCAAGTCCCTTCCCGTGGATGCCAAGCTCCTGGGGGAAGAGAGCATTTTTTCCTAAGGATTGTACCCGGCCAACCTCAGTTTCACCTAGGTCCTTGGCTTTGTCTGTGGGCAGAGATAAAGGACCCCACAGAGGTGAGAGGGCAGGCAGGACCAGGGGTGGGAGGCGTTTAGGCTACCTGGACTTAATCTTTGTGTAGAGCACCAAGCACAGAGAGCTGTGCCTTGGCAAGGGTCAGAGCTTCTGTTGCTCAAAATCCCACTGGCCTTGGTGCCAGTGGTGGACTTGGCCCTGGCTTCTGAACCAAGGAGGAGTTGTTCATCTGCAGGGCAGAGAGAGGCATGGGGGAGAGGGTGGAAAGAAAAAAACGGAGGGCAGCCTCGGGGAGCTATCCTGGCAAACCGTTCCACAATCTTTTAACCCGATGATGCTGGTGCATTACAAACAATAGGCTGTTTTGCACATGCAGCCAAAAAAAATCACCGCTGAACAAACAGAAAGCCCTGAAAGCTCCTTCCACGTGGCTGTTTTGTAGATGTTTGTAAAATTCATTCCTTTTGGAAATGATTTCTTGTCTTTTAAGTGACTTAAGGTTAATGCAATATGCCGATACAATCTCGCAAGTCATCCAGCAAGCCAGCCTTCAACTGAAAGGACACGTGTCAGGATACAAACAATATTACAAACTCTCCCATCTCCTTTATAAACAGCTCCTTAGTTTATTAATTCTAGAGGAATTCAAAAGGAATTAATGTACCAGTACTGGCCCCTAGACATTACAGCAATTAGCATCTTTTACAGTGCTTGTTTACAAAGCCCAAGACAGGGAGCACAAACTTGTCATCTGTTCCCGTGCTTCGTTCTAGTGGGACTCTGAAGAACTGGAGTATAGAAACTGGACAGCTCAATTTTGCTTTATAGTCATTTCCATCTTCTGGCTCTCTTGTGTTAAACCAGCATTGTTTTTGCTGAGGTTTCTCTTAAAACGGAAAGACTTGGAATACAAAGAAAGTGTTCTTGCCAGGATGGCAGAGGATTGCTGCAGCACTGGCCCCGCGGAGCCCGGGGAGCTGCTCAACCGGCTTCCTCTGAGGAATGTGCTGGATCGAAGTCCCAAATGTTTCCCCTCAGAGCAACGTTTTGCAGTCTGACACTGTGAGCCCCAGCAACCTCCTGGTGCCGAGTCTGGACTTTCAGTCTTCTACGGCAACGGGGCATTAATTGCAGAGCCTGCCTGCGGGCTGCTTCCCAAAATAATGGTGCGTTCTTCTTATGCAGGGACTGCTGCCTTTGAAAGAGCTGAATGTGTGTGAAATTGAGAATGGGAAGAGCACTGGGCAGGAGGATCACGCTTTCCGCATTGCAGGTTGGTGCCTCTTCCTTTGCTTTGAATGGAGAACAGAGGGTGTATGAATCACGACGGTCTCTGCTCTTTGTCCCGCTCTGACCTAGTCCCAGAGAAAAACCACATTGTGGAAGGTGGTTGCAGAGAGCTGAAGCTCTTCCTTCCAGCATTTGGATCTTTCCCTCCAAGGCTTCCCTGCTCCTAAACACCCGGACAGTGATGCCCAGGGCTGCAGGCAGGGAAGGGATGGGATAGGGAGCGCAGAGGAAGGATGGTGCTGTGCTCCAGCTGGTTAGCACTCAGGACGCATGGTGACAGTTCCCACCGCCGCCTGGTTATTTGCTCTTTTTGCACCACATTTGAACGAAGGAATGGAATAAAACTCCTTCTCCCACCTCTCATCGCCATATAAACCCCGAGGCCGTGCGGCGACTCCAGGCGGGCACGCATCCAGCCTTTACCAGTAATGCCAGGCTGGCGCTATCAGGACCCAATGTCACTTCACCAACTCTTCCCTCACCGGCACTCCTGCCTCCACAAGCTTTTTAAACTTTTCTCTGAGTGATCTTGCTTTATAAAAGTTTTCCTGGGATAACAACCTACCTACAGCTTGGCTGGAGGCTTCTTCGGGCTTAGTCATTGCTGAATTACGGCAGTCGCAAGCCCTCGAGAGTAGTAGTTAAAAGCATGAAGTAAGTAAATAATCCAGTAACGATACAGAGCCAAGAAAGCTCATTTGTGTCCTAGGCCCACTGTCTCCCTACTCTGGTGTCCTCTGTTAGAGAGAAAGTTATGTGATGGCCACTCAAACAAAAAAATTACATAAATTGTAAAAAGGAGCTGGTACGAACGACCCCATTAATTTTAAGGACTGCTGAATTGTGGTCTTGTTACACTGCACTAGGCAGGGCTCTCCAACCCTTTTAGGGAGTCTCTACAATGAAGGAAAACTTCTCCCAGGCATAACCTGTCAAGGGCATCTGCACTGGGGTGGGTGGACTTGTTCTGCTTGTGTGAAAACACGCAGGAGCGTGGCTGGGTGGAAAATCGCCTCAAGCTTTGTTGGGTTTGTGTCCTGCTTGGGGAAAGCACAAACCAAAGCCTTTCTGACCGAGAGTGCTCTATGGATCGGGAAACAGTGATATGAAGAAAGCAGGGAGGTAGTGATGTTTAGAATTGCCGGGAGATTAGTGGATTTTCTGCTAGAGAGGGAGAAATTAAGGCACGGAGGGGATAAAAGCCTTGTCTGTGGCTGCACACAGCATCAGGGTGGAAGTCTTTGGTCTCATGACTCTGAGACACAAAAGACACGCATTTCACACCCTTGTGAAATCCCACGGCATCAGTAGTTCCCCATAAACTGCACTTTGTAGGGTGGTTTGGTACGTCAGGAGATGGTGGCACGGTCGCTGGAAGCGTGGAGGTGGAGGGTGAGAACGAAACCCGGCAGAGTGCAGAGCTGTCCCTTGGGGCAATGGCACGGAGAAGTGG